ATTATCGCTCATTTATAAACGGTCTCTTGTTTTCCAGGTCATCTCTTAAAGATCCTTTTGCATCCAGGCCTAAAATACCACGTGACATGAATGAACCACAGTCTCGAGGACCATCTTCATCAACTCCGCCATTAGCGCGATCCATGTCACCAACCAGATCTTTATCCAGTACAAGCCGACCAGGTACATATTGCAGAGGGTTGGGGTGGGGTTAGAGGTGGAACGGGATGGTTGTAATTCGTAAATAGATGTAATTTTTAATGGTTTATATTCACACCAATGCTGGTTGTCTTTCTTTCAGGATCTGGTCATCGAAAATAGATGTTGGAAAGCGTACAGCATCATGTATCTCAGGACAGACTAACAGTCTTTACGAGAGATTTTTAAATTATTTCATTCTATATTGAAAAAGAAATCGTCATCGTATAATTACAAATATCATTAATAATATATTGTAGATATTTCAGTCGTTGTTAATTACTGGTTGCCCGTGAACTTCTCCTTTTCAACCGACGARAAACCCATCACTCTATTTTATGCACAAATTGGCAGCCGCGTTATATGTCCATAAGCTAGAATCCATACACTTCATTCGTGAAACTAAATAGTACGAAATATGTGCTAATTCATGGGAATATCTTTGTTTCCTAGAGTAAAAACACTAAACATGTGCACTATTTAAACAATAGAGTAGTTGTATGGAGGGCATTATGCTGTGATAGTTGCCCTTGTAAACTGGATGTTTTGAAAAACCAGTTTACAAAGGCAAACAGCATAGCATAATGGCCTCGGTTCAACAACTGTAATGTTTTTATTCTATTAGTCAACATCAAAATTTTCTGAAGAAGCGGGCTTCGTGCACTGATAGGGGGCATTATTGGGCATTATCGGGTCACGTGGTCGACTCTCCACCAATGAGAGTGGAGGGAAATTTGTTGTTGAATTATAATCATAACTGACTGTTTGCTTCACGGAATATAGGAAAAGCATCAAACCCGCGAAATAAGGATGGGATAGAAGAGCCAAACTCTTTGATTTAGAAACCTTCAGGGAAAAGAAAACAAGAGTTTACCCTACTACCTAAGGGACCGTATGTCATGTATGCAGACGGTGTAGTGTCTAATAGGCACATACATTGGTTTCTATTAATCCCTTCTATTATGCACAGTCTTTTCGTCGTATCATTAGAGGGAAGTCAAAAAACCGTGAAACCGTACGTCTTAGTTCACTCTTATTTCAACAGCACCCTGTTTCACGGGTTCTTATTATGAAATGTAGTTTAGGGATGGTGGATAAAAACGTAAATGGGACTATAAACTAGCGCTTTTCTTGCACCACCAWTAATAATTTCCAGACTGATAATGGTAAAAATATCAACAAGGTTCACAATAAATTACTCATTCAAAATAGGTTGGTGTGTGTCAGATGTGTCTAAGTTAGTTGTTTTGATAGCTAGTTATTGAGGGCCGGCGGAACTGGGGGAGAAATGTTTAAGACTGTGC